TAAATTAATTAATTTATATCCTGCCTTTATTTTATTTTTTTACAAATAACTCAAGCTGGCAAACATACGTATCTAACACACCTTCCTTCTTCTATTTTTCCAACAACAACAACAACCTTGTGAAATGGGTTGAGAGTGATTGGCTCAAGGTCATCCATTGCTGTATACTTGTTGGTTATGATTGGTTTGCCCTCTTCTCTATAGAAACTCTTGGGAGATTTTGCTGTATGCCTCACTGAAGTTAAGCAACTCTACAAGCATTACATTATTATGGCCAACTAAACTGGTCCGTCTGTCAAAAAAAAAGGTTAGTGGGTTGGATTGACATGATTTTTTCCTGATAAACCCATGCTTGCTCCTACAAGCAAGACATCTTTCCTAAATGCTTGTAGACTGATTTTATGAGTTTTGCCCAATAGTGGTGTTAAAGTTGATTTGTCTACAGTTACTTAGTTTTTCTTGTTATTCTTTTAAAATATTGGTACATCATTAGGCCTTTTCCCATCTTCTCTCATTACATTCATCTTTGATGGCACCCCAAAGGTCATAGAAATGGGTTTTGCGATGACATCTGCAAGTTTCTGTAAAACTCTTAGCTTTAATCAGTCTGGTGGATCCTGAAGAATTAAACTCATCCATATAGCCAGGTATTCCCTAACTATCTCTTTAATTACTTTGTGTTGCTATTCTTACCTTTTGTCAATTGGTTAGCTTAGTTCTATTACAAGTTGTGCACTTCTTATGCAATAAATCAACCAACTGGTCAGTCATACTTATCCCTTGAAAGTGAAGAACTAATTCTGGAGCTCAAACCCATCCATATTAAGCATCACAAAAGGAAAACATTTCTAAATTTCAGTCATGGTTCTGAAAATGCAGTATGGATTGTATCAGAATTCACTGAGGAAGGAGATGAATCTAGCTAGTCTGACATTGTGCATTTCTCTAGACTCAGTACCCATAGTAGCTATATTGAAGGATGAATTTGCTATGATTGCATTTAGTAAATGCCATCAGCATAATATTGAGATGCAGGGATGATTAAACACTGTCCTATCTAAGCAAGTCACTGCAACTGTCTTTATAAACCTAGGCAGATAGTGGTGGCAGCTGAGAAGCAGGAAAGGAATGTGATTCTAGATATAGTTTTGTTTCTTGGATATGAGTAACTAGGTCGTATTTATTTTCTCATTGTTAACAATGTGATTTGTCATGCAATACCATCAATAGAATAAATATATCTTTTACAGGAATTGTTTCATAAAATATTCTATTGACATTGGTTTAACAATTCACCAGCAAATGATAACTGGCAGAAAGGGAGAAGTTACAGCATTGGTAACTTTGATGATCTTTTGCTTATTGTCTTACCATGTGACGGTGTCTGGTTTGCAGTACTTAATAGCAGGTGGTTATAATTTTGCTCTTGGTCATCTGAAATTCAATAAAAAGAAAATGCCTTTTAAGGAGCAGCTTATGGAGGCTCAACAGAGCTGCAGGTAATAATTATATCTCACATTATTCATGGGAAATTTCTGCATGATTAAGGAGAAGAAAATGCTTAACAAAGGGGAAGTGTCTTTCATGTTGGGCTCTCAAAATCTCAATTGCTAGAGAAACATATTAATGAATAACAACACCCGTTGTGCTGAGACTACAAATTGGATATTCAACAAAGGAAGAACCATATTCAGAGGCAATTGTGACACACATTTTTGGCACTGAGAATATATGCTAGTNTAGGAAACCCCAGGAGCAAGAAAGCAAAAAAGGTTAAAAACATTCATGGGAAAATGGAACTATTAGATTTGGATGATGGGATTCAATAAATTTATCTGGAAGCCTCATTGCCCACAGAGGAGGAAAATGTAAGGACCTGGCTCAATGATAACATCCAGCAGTCCCAATGACCCTGTTCAGTGGTGAGGGTGGGAGGCTAATTTCAGCAACATTTTTTGGAGGGGCAGTTATAGAATCTGTCAGAGTTTGTTGTAGAAAAACCAAATCCAGAAAGCACACACAGATAACCGATTCAGCTGGATTCATTAACTTCCTTATATCCATAATAACAGATGAATAAATGTACAATACCAATAGTAGATTCTTTCAACGTGGTAGAAATTACAAGCAGAACACAAGAAGGAGAGAACAGTTTCATCTCAGAGTTCAGAGCAGACAAGCCCAGACTAGTTTAGCTTCTGCACAAACTCAGTTGCCTAAGCACGCCCAGACTTCTTCCTTAAGTTTCTGTTTCCAAAAAACCTCATTGGCTGAGTTTGTTATCATGCTTATTCATTGGCTGACCTTGTTATCATGTCTCTGCCAGTCATGAATATTCTAACAGAGTCATAGAATGTAAGGACCGGAAAGGACCTTGGAGACCACCTAGTCCCAAACCTCTGTCCAGTTTAGGAATCCTCTACAGGTAGTCCTCGAGTTGCAATGGTTCATTTAGTGATCTTCCAAAGTTATAACAGCGCTGAGAAGAGTGACGTATGGCCATTTTTCACACTTACAACTATTGCAGCATCCCCATGGTCATCTGATCAAAATTCAGATGCTTGGGAACTGACTCATATTTATGACAGTTGCATTGTCCACATGTTATGTGATTCCCTTTTGAAACCTTCTGAGAAGCAAAGTCAACGGGGAAGCCAGATTCACTTAACAACCCTGTTACTAACTTAACGACTTCAGTATTTCACTTAACAACTGTGGCAAGGAAAGTTGTAAAATGGGGCAAAACCCATTTAATAAATATTTTGCTTAACAAGAGAAATTTTGGGCTCAAGTGTGGTGGTACGCCGAGGACTACCTGTGTTATAATATCCTCAACATGCGTCCATCCATACTCAGTTTATAACCCTCCAGGAAAGAAGAGTTCAGGACCTCTCAAAACAGTCTCTTCCAATACAAGAACATTTCTTTAACATTTCTCCTGATCAAAATCTGTTTCTTGAAATGTAAACCCTGTTTTCTATTCTGTCACCTGAAATAAAACAGAAGAATTTCTTCCCCGTCTCCTACATGACGACCCTTTGAATACTTGAAGTCAATATCATACATCTTCCTGCAGGCTTTTCTTCTCCAGGCTAAACATACCAAAAGCCTGTATCTCTACCTCTTACTTTTTTCCCAGGACCCTTATTGTCATAGTCGCTCTTTCTGGATCAGCTCCAGTTTGTTTGACATTTGTCAATGTCCTTTCTATGCTAGGATGATGTGTACAATATTCTAAGTGCAGTCTGACTGATGCAGAAGAGTGAAAAACAGTTTTTTCCTCATCTTGACATTATAATTATGTTAGAGTTGCTTTTATTTTTTTGTGAGGTTTTTTTTGGCAGCTGCATCACCTTCCTGGCACACATTCAACTTCACCAATACACCCAGATCGTTTTTGCATTGCTGCCAACTATGCTTCCTCCATCTTTATATGGTATCTTTCCCCACCTAAATACAGGGCTTTGACTGGTTGCTGTTAAACATTATCTTGCTGGTTACTGCCGATTATTCCAGCTTCTCAAAATTCTCCTCTGTCCTATAAGGTGATTGTTATCTCTCAAGTGTTGGCGCTAGGATATTATCTGGGCTCATTTTGTGATGTTAAATATATGTGGTTACACCCC